TCAAAAGATATGGTAAAGTATTGTCAAATTGAAATTATTGAAAGGTATTTTTGGTGTTGTTTGAAGTTTACCTAGAAAACTATTGTAATGAGATAAATCCAAAGCTCTACACCTTCCAATAAATTCTAATTCTAACCTCAAAATCTTCACCCCCATTTGTTGTTTTCTTCTCCATTCATTAAATGACCAATTAGAGGCATTCCTCACAAATTATCTCCTCTTTTTCCTCCTCCTTTTCCTTTTCACTCAAATCATTACTCATTTGTGAGTGTGCTTCTTCAATCTCTCTTTTCAGATAATCAACAGCTGGCTGTGCTTTCTTCATTTCTTCATTCATTTGTTTACCCCCACCACACTTTCACTCTCCGATTTGCATACAATATGCCCAGTTTTGTTTTCCCTTTTGGAATCAGAGAAGAAAAATGAGTAGATAGCAGAAGAAAAATGAATAGATATCATCATTTTTCGGGTTTCAAAAAAAGCACAACTTTTCCTTCCTTCCAGTCCTTTTTACCCTTTCAAAACCCTTTCAAAATGAAACTCAATCCAAGATTTGTCTTGTCAGTAGAGGTACTGTACTCTTGCATAGTGTAATTCCCTTTGGTAATCCAATCCCCTTTCTAAAGTCATGTTTTTTTTCGGACAGAAAACTGATGTCCTTGTCGTTTTTTTTGAGCGATCCGTGTGTGACATGTCCCCATCGTTTTGAAGGGAAAACAAAAAAAAGTCCGAATACACAACTCGTCTCATTCTTTCATTCTTTCATTCCTTTTTTTCCTTGCTTTTCTCTCGTGAATAGAATTCAAGGGTATCAATCATCTCGTTAGGACTCACCCAACATGTTTGAAATGAGAAAAGCTTTAGGGGAAAGAGGATTGACGAAAGGCGAGCCGATCCACTTGTTGCTCGTTTCTTTTGCTCGTTTCTTTCCAAAGGTTGTAAGAATATGTCCGTTTTGAAGAAAAGAGGTGAATGTCAGGTTGTTTCTCTCTTTCTCTTTCACGAAGACATGTGTTTCCCGGTGAAAATTTACAGCCTGCACCACAGCAAAGGAGAACTGATAGACTCGGAGAGCTCTTTGCTTTTTGATTGCGATATATTTAGAGTACGGGGAAACAGTTGACACCACTTATCGTTTTCCCATTCACATTTGAAGACAATTATCACTAATCGACTCATTCACAGGAGATTAGGATTCTTGGTTCTTCAAAAGTTTGACCTAATAGAAAAAGATCAAGTTATTTTTACATAGAATAGGAACAAGCTAGACTAGATCAAGCTAGACTTGTTAGACGTTAGTTAGACCAAGTTAGACTTGTTAGTTAGACTTGTTAGACGCAGATCTTGGCAGATTAAATATAATAGTTCATATTAATAGTAATCTATATTCAAATTTTGAGCGAATTTTAGTATACTAGTACTTTTAGTACTATTCATAGCCAAGATCTGCGTCTAACAAGTCTAACTAACAAGTCTAACTTGGTCTAACTAACGTCTAACAAGTCTAGCTTGATCTAGTCTAGCTTGGTCTAGTCTAGCTTGTTAACAAGTCTAACAAGTCTGTAACTGTTTAACGAAAACTTTTGTACCATTATATAGAGCCTGAGCCTAATAGCGAGCAAAAGCTGATTAAAAAGTGACTACTGTACTAACATGCTCGTGAGATTCTTAAGATTAATAAATCATCGATTTCTAATACGGTTGTTACTTTCAAAAGTCGATCAAAGTTTCTGGGAACCCTATAAACTGGCTCTCGATTATGAAACTCGAAGTCACTGCCTTTTGATCCTCCAGGTTACGCCATTTTCCACAATCGACGAGTTTTCCCGATTACTTTCGAGTGTAATCGGATACAATACAGTCACTCAGCAGGGGGCACTTCTAGAGAGAAATCTGTTACCCAACAGGTATCCCCTTTTCTCTTCCAAACCACTTCTCAACTTATCATTGGCACCATGAAGATATTGAGGGAATTGTCTCAAATTGTTGCAGGTGATGGACATCTGCTCATATCAAAATCGATTGCAATCTCTGTGAACTTGTAGAGAAGTTGTAGAGAACAGATTCCACAAGGGTAATTAGCAAGGCAATATGGCGAGAGTAATTTGTGCAGATTTCAAGGAATCATTAGAGATTTGGAAAAGGGAAATGGAGAAATGGCTTCAATTGCAATCATTGAGAATCCTTATGGTGAAGAAATTTTGAGAGTTTTAAGTCTTAATGAGAACTTCAATGGGTACTGTACTCGGCTTTCAAATGGATCACTTGTAAGCTTGTAAGCTCAAGCTTGTAAGCTCAAGCTTGTAAGCTCAAGCTTGCAAGCTTGTAAGCTCAAGCATTGCATCGACTACCGTATCCAATTGTACAGGCTTTAGAAATCTAACTGCCTATTCTCTAGCTACAAATCTGTGCATGATTTAGCCGGCTGTGTGAACGATATCCAAGGCTGAGGATCATATTCAAGAAAGAGAAGATGTTTTGGGGTGGAGATAATCTTCATCTTTCTTCCAATCCGCTCCTTTTCCTCCTTTTTTCTCTTGCCACATCTGTCCTTTCACTCTCAGCTTTCTCCAGATTCATTCAGATGGTTGGGTGAGTGACAAATCCGAGCCTTACCCCATCCTGCCATATTTAAGCAGCCAAAATTTGCATACAAAACTTACAAAGCTAGTATTGAAACAATGAGCACAAAAACTTTTAACAACGAGAAATCAAGCACACCAGCAAACAGATCTTATTTCCAATTGCAATAGTAAGAATTGCAAGATCGATTTGCATAAAGTCTTTTGTCTGGATAGGCTTTGATAACATTTGAAGTGCCTCAACTGCTTATAAGCTAAAAAACTGCTTATAAGCTAAGTTCAATTCTCTAAAACTTTACTCAAAATTTCTGATACCCATTGCTTTTGTCTCGAAATTGTCCTCAGGCAAATCTCCACCAAAACTTTGTCATATGTGAATGAATAGAAAGAAACGATTAATAAGAGGGGAGAGTCATGCCGTCGGCGAGAAATGGCACCCCTGTGTGAATTGAAGAAAAGAGGAATATGGGAAAACGGATAAACAATAGAAAAAGATCGGATGGAATGAATGGCTCTCATTTGAGCCATTCATCTTTTGGATTAGAAAAAAAGGGAATCGATCAACGGGATTCTATTCAATTGATGACAAGTGGCTTTAGAAAAAGTCACCTTTAGCTATTTGCAAGAAGATTGAAAAGTTCCGGTTTTAAAAGTTCTTTAGCTCTTTAGCTCTTTAGCTCTTTAGCTCTTTAGCTATGGTAAGCTCTTTGGTAGGTAAGCTATGGTAGCTAGGTAAGCTCTTTAGGTATGGGCTATTAGCTAGGCTCTTTAACTTTAGCTTTAACTAAGTTTGAGCTGAAATTTTTTAGCAATCTTTCTAGATTCTGTTCTAAAACCATTACCATTACCGTAATTTCCCAGTCGCAGTAAAATCGATTGATCATCGAATGATTTTCTCGAAAATCCGCGAAAGGTCGTCCCGGGTTGTGGATGATTTTGATGGAATAGGGATGGTCCATAAGGGACAAAAGGGGGAGGATGGGAAATAGCCTTTGTCGGCACTCACGCTCAATTGACCGCCACACACCTGTCTAAAGGGGAAGAAGACCATCCACAATACAACTCTTTAGTCTTTAGGAATGAATGGCTTTGTTTTTTTTAAAGAATGTAGTAGTATTGTTACAGAGATAGTGTGGCAAAAAGCTGGCAAAAAGCTGGCAAAAAGCCGGCAAAAAGCTGGCAAAAAGCTGATCCCTATAGCTTATAAACTAAACCAGACTAGGAAAGGCAAGGCCAAGAGATTGGACCGGATCTGGCTTTACTGTGGGTCTGGATCTAGCTCTTGGACCTGGACTGGGCTCAATCTGACCTGTATGACAAGCTTGAGCCTGAACCTAAGCCTGCTACAGGTCATGGATCCGATTAGAACCTTGGTCATAAGCTAATCTTTCCATAGCTAATGATATTTCAGAGTAATCTACAATCCATCCAAGTCTAACTTCTGAAGAACTTCAAACTTTGAACTTTTCCAACTCCACATTACCATCAAAAATTGGCTTAACAAGAAAACGGGAAAGGATTTATACGGCTTATGATCCCAGGGTACAACCCAACAAACAAATCGGTGGTGGTGGGGCAAAGGAGGCGTTATCCGATGGGTACATATAGCTGACAGCTGCCCTTCTGTAAGTACCCCCATCTCTCCATCAAATACTCAAATACTCAAATCTGTCCTTTGATACCCGCTTTGTAGCCCGATATCGCTGTCCCTTTTATGGAGCGATGGTTTGATTACCGGATGATCCGGTGCGCAGAACTACTGCGGACTTTATCGACCCCAGGTGCTTGGGTCGGCGCCTCCTTTATCTCTATAAGCTAGCTGATTTTCTGAGAACTATGCAATTTAGCTAGTTCATTGAATAGCTTCATAATAAAATGGTTTATGAATAAAATTAGAATAGAAAATGTGACAATAGACCTCGGTTCTCAGTACAGAAAGTTTAATGTAGAGCTTTTTACTATAGAATCTATAGAGCTGTCAATACTATAGCAAAGACGATAAAAAATAATCTATAATATCTCAATAACTTAGTATCTATAACAGTTTTTATTTGAAAATCAAAGCTCAGAAGTTTCCAATGTGATAGCTAACAGTTTGACTGTTTAGACTGAACTCTTTTCTCAATAGATCATTAGATTTGACTCTATTTGACTCTAGATCTTGTAAAGTTTTCAGAAAAACAAATTCTAACTAAATTTAGCCTGACTACAAGATTTGAAGAAGAAGGGATTTAAAAGTAAAAGAAGTAAAGAGCAAAAAAAAAAAAAGGCGACACCGGAAACGACTAACGAGCATCGCGACAACAGAAAAACGAGAAGAAAAGTGCAACTGAATAAAGAAAAAGAAATCTGACTTCAGATCAACTACAATAAATAAATGAATAAATTTTATCAAAAGATTATTTGAAAATAACTCACATTGGATTCGAGACATTCCAGTAGATATCGGGGAGTCGTTTTGTGAACATCACTTGTATCAAAAGGGAAAAAATGAGGGTGAGTTGGAGAGGAAACATCCTGAAATATTGTTCATTTGTGAGTTTAATTAATTTATAGATAAAAATTGAAAGAAATTGAAATATAAAAAAGATAGAAACGTTAGAAATCGAAAGAGAAATTGAAAGAAATTGGTGAAATCGTACTTTAAAGAGTAAGAGAATGAGTTTCAAGTTAAGTGAAAGATCTTCTAGTAAAAAAAGAACTCAAACAAATAGAAAATATTAAATACTGTTATAAACCTTTAAATGCACAAATCTAAAATGATAGGTTGTGGATGGGATGGATGAGGAGAATGGGGGAAAGGGGAAAGGGGAAAGGGGAGGAGACAAGTGGGCGGGACTCCTCCTCCCCTAAGGTTGTCTCCTTCTCTCACTTGATCTACCTTTTTTAGTTAATTTATAAAGATAAACTACTTTAACTTATCACTTAAATAGCTAATATAGATTAAACTCTTTGGGGAATGGGGGAAAGGGGAAAAGGGGAGGAGACAAGTGAGCGGGACTCCTCCTTGTCCTTCTCTCACTTGATCTACCTTTTTTAGTATAAGCAATAAAGATAAACTACTTTAACTTGTCACTTGAATAGCTAATATAGATTAAACTCTTTGTGCAATGGGGGGAATGGGAATGGGGAAGAGACAAGCGGGCGGGACTACCTCTCCCCTAAGGTTCTCCATCTCTCACTTGATCTACCACTTTTAGTATAACCAATAAAGATAAACTATTCAACTTGTCACTTAAATAGCTAATATAGATTAAACTCTTTAATTTATCAGTTTATTCTATAAAATTGAGTCAAAAAGTCATGCAAAAACTATTCAGTTCTCCACTCCACTCTTCAGCTCTTTTTCCAGATCAATTCAAGAACCAATGACTGTACTATGCCTACCTCATTTCCTTTCCTTTTACATAATTAAACCAAAAAGATAAACAAAGCTTGATTAATGGATAAATATTTAATATTTAATGTCAGATTAATATAAAGATTAAGTTCCTAAAGATTTTAATTGAGAAAAAAGTGAAGCGGTATGGGATAATCTCGAAAGGGATCTATCCAAAATTGGATCTTTTTCCTAAAAAACAAGCCCGGATAAGAGAAATTTGCATAATCGTGTCCTTTTTCCTAAAAAAAGAATGGGAAAAGACAAAGCAACTTGAAGAAAACGCAGCTGTGCTCGCAAATGAAGTGAAATGAAAAGGAAAGTGAAAAGAGAAAAAGGAGAAGAATTAGAGAGTGAATAAATGAGATCGGATTGAGTAGAAGAAAGAATGGGAAGAAGGGGGAGAAGGGGAAGAAGGGGGAGAAGGGGAAGAAGGGGAAGAATGGGAAGAAGGGGAAGAAGGGGAAGAATGGGAAGAAGGGGGAGAAGGGGAAGAATGGGAAGAAGGGGGAGAAGGGGAAGAAGGGGAAGAATGGGAAGAAGGGGAAAAGTACCGGGAAATTTTGTTTAACACTTCAACAGGAAGAGATTAGAAGAGTTGAGGGAAGTGAGTTAGGAATTTAGTGGATTTGGTGGGGGGAAAATTCTACAGTATTGCTCAAGTTCTGCATAACTTTATAATTATACTATTTTCTGTGATATTTACTTCTAAATAAACTGTTAAATTAAAAGAGATAAATCTCCTTTTTAACTTTTAAATGTCGTAGCCGTTTAAGAATCATTTGTCATCGACTAGCCATCGACTAGCATAAATGAAATGTTTAATTTTCCACTTCAACAATATCAATGATTCCGAATTGATTCTTCTTTTTACCTTTTTTTCATTATTCTTTCATTTTATTACATACTAATTTGCTTTTTTTCAGAATAAATTCTTTTCTCAACCAACTTAACGCGCATAAAGGCTTGAAGAAGCGAACTGATCTATTGGGTTGGGGAGAATGAGTCGGCGCCGAAAATCAAAAAAATGTCTAAAACTTCTATTCGACTTCGTTAAATAATATGCGTTTGATATGAGTAGAATGGTTAACTAATTCTCTACAAAATGACATTTAAAAGAAAATTCAAACAGCGCCTCCGCTCAAGAAAAAGCCATTTTTTCACAAAAACTACAAACTGTGATCTAGAAAAAACCATTGGTGGGATCTTCCTGCAAATTTGGTAACTTAAGTAATTGAATGTGTTCTATCTTTTTTATATAAAGACCAAAGAAGGTTTATGTGAAAGAAACTGTTCAAATGATGAGTCGGACTCTTTGCCATTTTAACCAGCTGCGTTTGGAAGTTCATAAACTCGACGAAAGAAAAGCTTTGTGGAATCTCTCAAAAGTGATTTTGTAGAGAAATAGTGGATCCTTTTGATGAAACCAAACGTATGTTTAAAGAAGGCTTTATGTGTGCAAAAAGTCCCTTTAAAGTTTGGCGCCGACTCATTCTCCCCAACCCAATATTAACGACGATCTAAAGTTGAATTGGGTAAGCTAAAGTTGGGTAAATAGGCTAGTTGAAGTTGGAATGACTCTTCCAATCAATGTCTTCCAATCGATGTTGTTGATCCACCTAAAATAGGCCACTCATCTCTTTTTGGTGTCGTGCTATCTTCGGAGGACGATTTAAATCAGCTTGGCACCAAGAATAGAGTCTTACAGCAAAAGTTAGTTAGTTATATCAAATTTTATTCATCAAATCTTTAACATTAACCTAAAAACAGTTTGAAGTGGCCAAAAAGAATTTTCTGATGACGTCTCTTCTAAAGAAACATCTTTAGTTTCTCTTTCGTTTTGCTTAAATAGAAATCAAAACCAACAATAAACTCGGTTGAAATCTAGCCATAGTTGCAGAAGCAAGGCATGGATCAAATTAGAATATTAGAATACAAATGAAATTTGCATTTAAACATTTCATTTGTAAACGATTGAATAATGATCTACTAAGAACTAAATAAACTGTGATCCTTCTTTGCTAATGCCTTTTCTAAAGCGAGCCCTACTTTCGAAGTTACAATCTACCTTGTTTATAGTGTTTATTCAATCTATCTACTTTTTTTCCTGATTCTATAAGGGATCATGATGGATGCCGAAAAGTATAAAAAGCATATGGATTGGATAAAGCTAGAGTTATGGTGCGTTTTAGAATTCGAAAATTTGTGCGTTTTGGAAAACTCATAAGAATAGACTCTAGCCAGAGAAAGATTTCTTCAACCATTTGTTCCCAAAACATGGTTCCCAAAAGAGTCAGCTTGAAAACAAAGCCAAAGTGTTCAGGTTGTTGGGGGCTTTTCTGTATCCCATGTGTTCCCCATTTCTTTCAAAGTTTTGCCAATATCTGGCAATTTGTACGAAAGTGCCTCTCATTTACGTTTGAAACAAATTCCATCAAGGTTTAATTCAAGTGCAGTGATATAAAAGGTTAAAGTTGGGAAATGGAAAATCTTTAGAAAAAATCAGTCAGAAATCAAAGCCGAAGCGTTGAATCAAAGCCGAAGCCTTGAATCAAAGCCGAAGCCTTGAATCAAAGCCGAAGCCTTGAATCAAAGCCGAAGCCTTGAATCAAAGCCGAAGCCTTGAATCAAAGCCGAAGCCTTGAATCAAAGCCGAAGCCTTGAATCAAAGCCGAAGCCTTGAATCAAAGCCGAAGTCTTGAATTGAAGCTTAAGTCTAGAGTTTACTAGATTTTATGGTTAATAACGAAATGATAAAGATATTGATCAATTTAAACAAACTTTAAGTATTTAACAATACTTTTAACAGGTAAAATATACTTTTCAAATGGGTGAGTGGAGATGGAGACAAATGCAGATGAAGTAAAAACTGAAGATGAAGTACAAAACCGTAACTTTTCCTTGTCTTGAAACTGGATCCCCACTTTAGAAATGCTAAATAAAGAAATTATAGACTATGAGGGATTTTTTGAGGGATTTTTTGGATAGAAAAGATGATGGACCCTTTTAGTGAGTCTTTTAGTGAGTCGGAGTCTGTGTGAGTCTTTTTGTGAGGTGAGCTTTTTTGAAGATGAAGTCAATAGCTTGAAACTCAAAACACACAATAAACTCGGTTGAAATCTAGCCATTTTTGCAGAAGCATAGCATAGATCAAATTAGAATACAAATGAATATTAGAATACCAATGAAATTTGCATTTAAACATTTCATTCGTAAACGGTTTGAATAAATGATCTGCTAAGAACTAAATAGATTGTGATCCTTCTTTGCTAATGCCTTTTAATGGGTGAGTCGGAGTCTGTGTGAGTCTTTTTGTGAGGTGAGGTCTTTTTGAAGATTTGAAGAAGACGAAATAAAAACCGTAACTTTTCCTTGTCTTGAAACTGGATCCCCACTTTAGAAATGCTAAATATAGAAATTATAGACTATGAGGGATTTTTTGAGGGATTTTTTGGATAGAAAAGATGATGGACGGTCTTTTTCATTCAATATGAAAAATGGGAAAGAAGAGAAGGGGCAATTAGAGCCCGAAATCCCTTCCGGATTGGCCTCGAGTCGTGAAAAAGAGGCAAAGAAAAGCTAAATATTAAGAAAATCTGGGAATATCTACAGGATATTGAGAGAGGGTCCATTCCCCGAAAATTGACCCTTCAGTGAAGAGACGATAATGGATCAGGAGCTTTACATTGAACACAAGACTTTTGAATAAAGTTTTTTAGATTGAAACTGTAAAATATGAATGGTTGAATGAGTTTAAGGTAAAGTTCAATTCAAGCCATACAATGAAGCCAATTAGAACTAAGTCATTCATGAGTTGAACCATTCAAAAGCCTCGAGTCTAATTTTGATTTCAACAGCTACAAAACTCTATCATTTACATTCTGGAAAAGCTTTTCAATTGACAATGTATAGATAAGTATGCATGAAACTACAAAATTGTAAAAAAAAATCCGGGTTTAAAGCTTGCTCGACCGGTTAAAGGTGAGCTGTTCAAAAGGCGTGAACTATTCAAAAGGCTTAAGTGTTTACAGTGTTTTGTTTGCTACAAAATTCCTATTTTCGAGAAACTTTCCAATCTAAATATCCAAG